CAATTTCCAACGTTTTTTGATTTTACGATATTTTTGAAAATTTTCAAAACATTCCCCGAGAGATGCATGCCACTCTCGAATGCCACATCCTGTCTCCGTTGGTTTTCGTCTCTCTCACACGGTTCCTGACGGCCTCGCTGTCTGCACCAACCGGCCCTTGCAGGACTTCGTGTGGGGCGGACCGTGTCTCTGCCCGTCTCTGTCTGCCTAATGTGGTGACAGCCGCAACCGTGCTTCTCAGAGACGACATGTAAGAGACAGTGTCAGGCAGAGACCGCGTTCGTCAGAGGCAGAGTATATAAGAAAGAGTCCGACTGAGACCGGTCCTGCAAGGCATTAGGTGGGGAGAATTTTTGAAAAAATTTTTAAAAATTTCGAAATATTTCGAATAATCAAAAAATGCTGGAAATTGGCCAAAAAGCGCACAAAACAAATTTTTTTGTAAAATTCAACTTTCAAATTTTTTTCAAAATTTTCAAAAAATTTTGGTTTTCTGCGCTTTTCAGCCAATTTCCAACGTTTTTTGATTTTTCGAAATTTTTGAAAAATATGAAATATTTTCAAAACTTTCCCCGAGAGATGCATGCCACCCTCCTTGAATGCCACATCCTGTCTCCGTTGGACTTCGTCTCTCTCACACGGTTGCTGACTGCCTCTGTGTCTGCATCTCGGTCTCTGCCTCATGTGGTGTCAGCCACAACCGTGCTTCTCAGAGACGACATGTAAGAGACCGTGTCGGGCACAGACCGCGTTCGTTAGAGACAGAGTGTATAAGAAAGAGTTCGACTGAGACCGGTTCTGCAAGGCATCAGGTGGGGATAATTTTGAAAAAAATGAAAATTTTTAAATTTTTCGAAAAATGAAAAAATGCTGGATATTATCTGAAAAGCGCACAAAACTAAATTTTTTTGAAAATTTTGAAAAAAAATTGAAAGCGGAATTTTTTTAAAATAGTTTTTTGCGCTTTTTGGCCAGATTCCAGCAATTTTTATATTTCGAAAAATTTCAATTTTTTTTCAAAATTCTCCCCATCTGATGCCTTGAAGGACCGGTCTCTCTCTTATATACTCTGTCTCTCACGAACTCGGTCTGTGCTTGGCACGGTCGGCCCCACACCGAGTCCTGCAGAGGCCGGTTGGTGCAGACACCGAGGCAGTCAGCAACCGGGTGAGATAGAGGCGAAGACCGGCAGAGACAGGATGTGGCATTCACCGAGGCTGGCATGCATCTCTTGGGGAGAGTTTTCAAAATAGTTAAAAATTTTCAACAATTTCGAAAAATCAAAAAATGTTGGAAATTGGCTGAAAAGCACACACAAAAAAAATTGAATTTTTTAAAAAAAATTGAAAGTGGAATTTTTCAAAGAATTTTGTTTTGTGCGCCTTTTGGCCAATTTTAAGCATTTTTTGATTTTTAAAAAAATTCATTTTTTTCCAAAATTCTCTCCATCTTATGCCTTGAAGTACCGGTCTCAGTCGTTCTCTTTCTTATATATACTCTGTCTCTCACGAACGCAGTCCGTGCCTGGCACGGTCTTTTGACATGTCGTCTCTGAGAAGCACGGTTGCGGCAGTGACCACGTAAGGCAGAGACCGAGACGGGCAGAGAAATGGTCGGCCTCACACCGAGTTATGAAGAGGCCGGTTGGTGCAGACACCGAGTCAGTCAGGAACCAGGTGAGATAGAGGCCAAGACCGGCAGAGACAGGATGTGGCATTCAAGGAGGCTGACATGCATCTCTTGGGGAAAGTTTTGAAAATAGTTGAAAATTTTAAAAATTTTAGAAAAATCAAGAAATGCTGGAAAGTGTTTGAGAAGCGCACAAAACCAAATTTTTTTGAAAATTTTGAAAGTGGAATTTTTCAAAGAAATTTTGCTTTGTGCTCTTTTCGGTCAGTTTCCAACAATTTTTTGATATTTCGAAAAATTTCAATTTTTTTTTCAAAATTCTTCCCATCTTATGCCTTGAAGGACCTGTCTCAGTCGGACTCTTTCTTATATACTCTGTCTCTCACGAACGCGGTCTGTGCCTGGCACGGTCTCTTGACGTGTCGTCTCTGAGAAGCACGGTTGCGGGAGTAACCACGTGAGCAGAGAGCGAGACACGGTCGGACGCAAACCGAGTCCTCCAGAGGCCGGTTGGTGCAGACACCGAGGCAGTCAGCACCCGGGTGAGATAGAGGCGAAGACCGGCAGAGACAGGATGTGGCATTCATCGAGGCTGGCATGCATCTCTTGGGGAGAGTTTTCAAAATAGTTAAAAATTTTCAACAATTTCGAAAAATCAAAAAATGTTGGAAATTGGCTGAAAAGCACACACAAAAAAAATTGAATTTTTTAAAAAAAATTGAAAGTGGAATTTTTCAAAGAATTTTGTTTTGTGCGCCTTTTGGCCAATTTTAAGCATTTTTTGATTTTTAAAAAAATTCATTTTTTTCCAAAATTCTCTCCATCTTATGCCTTGAAGTACCGGTCTCAGTCGTTCTCTTTCTTATATATACTCTGTCTCTCACGAACGCAGTCCGTGCCTGGCACGGTCTTTTGACATGTCGTCTCTGAGAAGCACGGTTGCGGCAGTGACCACGTAAGGCAGAGACCGAGACGGGCAGAGAAATGGTCGGCCTCACACCGAGTTATGAAGAGGCCGGTTGGTGCAGACACCGAGTCAGTCAGGAACCAGGTGAGATAGAGGCCAAGACCGGCAGAGACAGGATGTGGCATTCAAGGAGGCTGACATGCATCTCTTGGGGAAAGTTTTGAAAATAGTTGAAAATTTTAAAAATTTTAGAAAAATCAAGAAATGCTGGAAAGTGTTTGAGAAGCGCACAAAACCAAATTTTTTTGAAAATTTTGAAAGTGGAATTTTTCAAAGAAATTTTGCTTTGTGAACTTTTCGGCCAGTTTCCATCATTTTTTGATATTCCGAAAAATTTCAATTTTTTTTCAAAATTCCCCCCATCTTATGCCTTGAAGGACCGGTCTCAATCGGACTCTTTCTTATATACTCTGTCTCTCACGAACGCGGTCTGTGCCTGGCACGGTCTCTTGACGTGTCGTCTCTGAGAAGCACGGTTGCGGCAGTCACCACGTAAGGCAGAGACCGAGACGGGCAGAGACACGGTCGGCCGCACACCGAATCCTGTAGAAGCCGGTTGATGCAGACACGGAGGCAATCAGGAACCGGGTGAGATAGAGGTCGAGTCCGGTAGAGACAGCTTGTGGCATTCACCGAGGCTGGTATGCATCTCTTGGGGAAAGTTTTGGAAATAGTTGAAAATCTTCAAAATTTTCGAAAAATAAGAAATGTTGGAAATTATCGATAAAGCACATAAACAAAAAAACTGAAAAACTCCACTTTCAAAATTTTGAAAATGTTCAACTTTGTCAAAACTCTCCCCAACAGATGTACGAGGTGCGATCGGAAAGTTTCAAGACTGTGTCAATAGAGAGCGAACCGGATGTAGTACGAGCTTCTGCCGCTAGGGGGTGCGGAGCAAGCATTTGGGGAGTCCGCAATGGGTCGTGCACAAACTTTTGTGTGGCATTCACGTTTTAAAAATGGCCGAACCTCTGTCGATGATGACGAGCGTTCTGGACGACCATCTTCGAGCACAACGCCCGAAACTGTTACGAAGATCGACGTCGTACCATCAACGACTTGTGCGACATTTTTGGGATAGGCTATGGGACCTGTCAGCTGATTCTAAAGGAAGAACTCCACATGCGACGCATCCTGTCAGAGGACTAGAAGCAGAATCGACTTCTCGTTTGTCAGGAGTTTAAAGATCTTGCAAGAACCGACCCCACCTTCCTTTCTAAGCTCCGTGTGACTTCTTCCTCTTCCCAAAGTTGAAAATTCAGCTAAAGGGAAGGAGATTTGAGACGATAGAAGAGATTCAGGCAGAATCGCAGATGGTGCTTGACAGGCTGACAAAGAAAGATTTCCAGGGATGCTTCCAGGCTTGGCAGCGGCGCTGGGATCGTTGTGTTCACTCCCAGGCGAACTACTTCGAGGGTGATGGATGAATTTAATACCTGAGATAAGTGTACGGGTTTTTATACGCGCAGTCTGGAAAACTTTCGATCGCACCTCGTATCGCAGCCTCAGTGAATGTCTGTGTATCACGTGCTATCTCCTGGTCGGAATCTCTGCATTACTAGGTCTGCAATGCCGGGTCGTCAGAGACGGAGTCATACACAGACCGCATCGTGCAGAGATTGAGTCAGGCAGAGACCGGGTGCGTCAGAGACCGTGTCAAGCAGATACTGGTACTGGCAGGTATCGGGTGGGGAGAATTTTGTAAAGAAATTCAAAATTTTCAAAATTTTCGAAAAATCAATGCTGGCTATAAATTGTCTAAAAAGCGCATAAAACTGAAACTTTTCGAAATATTCAAAAAATTCTAATGTTGAAATTTTTAAAACAGGTATAGAGCTAAACAGATATCACTCTACATTATGTGTTAATATCATGCTCTTCAATTAAAGAATATACAAATATGAAATATTCCAGCTGAGTCCTACTTCAAGCATTGCTTGGTTCGTTCTTCCATCCTCTGTCCCTGAAGAAGAGTTCAAGGATATTCAGGAGTAACATATTTCAAGTCATTTTTCTGTCTGCATATTCAAGGGGGATGTAACTTTATTTACACTTTCAAGGAAATGGGCAATTTTTTCTTGTTTACATAATTATTCAACAACACTTGTACACAGCTGCAGCCATTGGATATAACAAACAAGTTTCTGTGGGAAAGTGTACACACCATACTTTTCCCCACTCATCACATAACGGTGAAAAGTAAAAGAGGGAAACTATTGCTGCTTGGAGTATATGTTAAAAACTTCTGAGGGAAAGGGGGGGGGATGCTGTAGTATAGGAGGCATGGTAGTTTTTGGCCCATGGAGAAGATAGCGGAGCCGGCAAACGGACCTACTCTGTGTACTTGTGGCGGCAAGGTCCGTGTATCTGCTTTGTTTGGGCTTTCAGTCCGATAAGCGCCTCGTCCTTCCCGGTGGCAGATGAAACATTATACTATTGTAAAAGTGACTAGCTCCTAGCCTTCCCCTTGAATATTCCACCGGCCAAAAACTACTGCGACCGCTATACATGTCTGTAACACTGCCATATTTTAAGGAGGCACAAAATATGAGATATTTACTGGAGCTGCTGTTAGCAATAAGATTCTTGTAAACTCAAATTTATATCATAATTCAGAGAATTCTTGACTTATAAAGCCGTACACTGGCACGTCAGCTATACGTAATACCATACCATATGTTAGAATCAAAGTTTAAATATTATGCAGTAGATCAACATGGGCTCTTCAAAAATGCCTCCAGTTTTGTTTCTCTGCAGCACGGTTTCAGACAAGCAATATCATGCATCTTATCTCTTCTGCCTATCTGGTGATGTTGCCTTCATTATGCTACACGCCATTACTGTGAGAGTACCTAAGTTACGTTAATTAATATCTGTCACCATTACATCTCAAGACAATCGTGTTGTGATCTTCCACATTTGTCTGCTCTGCTAATCATCCCAAGAAGCAAATTACAACGTACACTCAGTTTTTCAAGATTAAATACTTATATGTACCACTAACGTCGTAAACAAGAGGGAACCGCTACGAAAAATATGTTACTAAATAATTCTTAGGAGGGGAAATAAAGTTTGGCCAGTGAGAATCCACCATAATTAGAAGATTACGCTAATCCCCTAGTATCTTAACGAAGGAACACAAACTCCATTCCAGCTGATAACATATACACATTGTTTAAACATTAGAACACTCTGTCATAACTTACAACACAATCCAGTAAAGCGTCTGTTTCGAGTTGATACGCTCAGTGAGGAACGAGAAACAATACGCGATAAGTGAATTTCCAGTATAGTTCAAAATTTAACAGATCTTTAGATGGCTGTATGGCGACATTTAGAATGTCTTTGTTTAAAAAAAAAGGCAAAATAACTTCGAGCCATAGGTGGGCAGACGATAAATTGCCTGTAATTTTCACTGCAGTCCGTTCAAGTCCACTCAGAAAAGTAATTCAACTTGTGTTACAATGTATATTTTGAAACACCGAGAGGGATAGGGGAGGGGCAATCATTGTGACTTGGGGTTATTTGATTTTCCTCCTCCACTCCCTAATTGTCAAGTTGTCATAACCACTCTCCTTCCTGCTGGCCTGTCCTCCCACTCCTGGCACAACTCACCCTGAATGAACAGCTTCTTCCAGCCGGTAAATTTGCAAAACTCAGTTTGGCACCCCTTCTCGACAGCAAATTGATGCAATCAGGGAAAGTCAGACTGAAGACACTGCTGCCTAGTGTGGTGTTTCATGATCCAATCAATGGGTGTGACGAGCGGGAAAGGTCCAAGGGGAGGGTGGGGCTCCCCGTCACAGTTGATCTTTTGATGGCACCCAAATGGTGGGCCCAGCCTGTTCTTGGATTACCTCCTTGACTTTGACATAGATATCTTCAGGTGTGTCACCCTGTACCACAGCTGAAATCACAATGGCACAGTTCACATTAAGCTATGCATCCTTCTTTACATTCATGTATTTTTCTTAAAAGATAACCTAACATTTGCAATTATCTCAGAAACAAAAATTATTTACAGTTAACTGTTCAGTATTTTGAAAACATACTGTATTAACAACATTTATAAGATTGTGATACAATGTGGGTTCCCTGCTGTTGATCAAAAAACAAGGTAGTACGAGAATTTGGAATTGCAGAATATACAGGATTATTCACAAGTCCCTGACACATTACAAAAAATCGCCAGACTTGAATGGTGCAAAGGATTGTAACATGTGACATGCCGATAGAAAGAGAAACTCTCCAAGTTTCTAGCAGCACTTGGAGGAAGACGGTTTTGCTGAAAAACGTTTTCTGTGTCATATCCAAAGCGAAGGTGCAGCCTCATGATCACAGCAGTGTCTTCATTTATCAGCAAGATGGGGCTCTGCCACACTATCACCGCCTCGTCCATGGCTACCTCAATCAGAATTTGCCTCAACGTTGGATTCAACACATGGCTGCCAATGACCATGTGCTGTTTCACTGGCCACCCTGATCATCTGACCTAACACCATGTGATTTTTTCTTATGGCGGGTACGTTAAGGACCAGGTCTTTGTACCGCCTCTACTATGGGATCTGCTTGAGCTGCGAAGACGAATCATCGCTGCCATCTCACAAACCGATCATATGCTGCAGCGGGTATGGGCAGAAATGGATTATCGGCTTGAAGTCTGCCATGTCACAAAGGGCAGACACATAGAGCATATATGAGGCATGTAAAATAAACTTGGAGAGTTTCTCTTTCTATCGGCATGTCCTATGTTACCATCCATTGCACCATTCAAGTCTGGCGATTTTTTGTAATGTGTCAGGGAATTATGAATAACCATGTACATAACCTTTGTACTATGACAATGTGAAACCTTTATCCAGTCTTATTTTGACCATAAAGAAGAAATAAAGGAGCATTTCATGAAGAGTTACATCTACACCAATAATGGTTAGTAAGAATGATGCAAATTAATAAATTAATGGCTAGATTTTGGGTCCAAACAAAATTCTGTCCAGCGTTGTGCTTCTAGTTCAGCACTGTCACATCATCCCTGCATTTACTCAGTTACGCCAGTCTTACCTGTAAAGTACTCTCCAAATTCCTGTTCCATCTTCATGGCACGTTCAAAGGTTTTCTTGGCCTGTTCTTCTGTCATACGCTTATTCATTTCCCTGAAAATATTTGAGAGTGGTGCAAAATTTTATGACACTGAAGTATTAGGAATAGATTCTCTTTATTATGGAGATTAGTTCTAACATCATTTAATAATATTAAATAAACAGTAAAGTTATTCAGTGCTAAATCAGGTGAATTACTACTACATATAGCATACCTTCGCAGAAAGATTAGACAGTAAACAGTTCTGGCTTATGTCACATACATTCCACACAACCAAAAATTTGTCAGAAAGAATGCAGGATGTGGGACAAGTCAAAAATTAATATAAAACTGCACAAGAAAATAGATTTAACATACAATTATTAAGTGTTATACTATATCCATAAATACACAGCACACAAATTATATGAATTTTTTAACTATATCCATATAAGGCATAAAAAGAAAAAAAATCATTACTGAATGCTAGGAATGCTATCATACAGTAAAATGAGTATGTACTTCGCTATCTTCCTAGTACAACTTTAAACTGTCCCTTATTATTTATAATACTTCTGAAACAAACAGGGGTGTAGCCACCACATTTGACACATAGTATCCGTAGCCGCGCGGTCTGAGGCATCACGCTTCAGACCGGTGATAAGGAATGCGCGCTGGTTCGAGTCTCGGTGAAAGAAATTTCTCATGAGATTTTCGACTGGTGTATGGGACCCGTGCCAACCCAGCATCGCGAGAAAATTGGGGAGCTACAATGGGTAGCGTAATCCGGTCAGGAAAGCTAGCAATGGCTGGGGGTTCGTAGTGTTGACCACACGTCACCCTATTATCTGGTTGGATGATTGTTTACCTCTGCTTAGGCATGTGAACGTGAGGCCAGCAGCCAGCTAGTCAGCTTTGGCTCTAAGAGGGCTGTTTCGCCACAGATTATTATTATAATTATTATTTTCCCTATAATCACAGTACTGGCAGCATCATTTAAATATGTATAACGAACCAAACTTCCTCAGTGTTTCTCTGGATCTGGCAACACTGCAATGGGGGAAGTAAATGGCACAGAACATTCCTCCAACACAGGACTTCAATGTCAGCACATAATAAAAGGAAGACAATTCCAATCATCTGGATTGCTATGTAATGTTAACAGCACAGCCATTAAGAGCAGAGTGACTGTGTAGAAACTATGATGATAAAGTACTGTCAGGAAGACATATTTTCATATTCTGAGTCATGGCACATGCAAAACAACTGATTTTCCTAGAGACCAGTAAGATTTTGCAGATATTAAGTATAACATGTACTCACATGATGGAGTCAACAGACTTTGGTTTTATGAAAATGGCAATGGGAAACAGCTGTGCCACTTGTAACCTCTTGATAGCATTGCCACTCACATCAAGGATGCAATGTTTTCCCTGTAATAAGTACAACACATTTCTGATATAAACAAAGACACATCAACTCAGAATACTGGTCCAGACAAAATTCAATTTCTTTTAACCATTATGTTTTTGTAAGCATGGAATGACGAAGAAACACTGACAACAGAGCTTCTTCATATTTTTTATGGATTCATCAAAAGCATGTGACAAACCACTTTCTTCTGTAACATTCGTCTCTTTAACATGGAAGAATGCAAGTAAAGAACCTGAAGTTCAAACATTACGCAAATAGTCTGATGCATTTTTAGAATAATCTTTCTTCGTTGCCTACCTTTTCAGCTACATCCCTAACAGATGCAACCGATGTCCCATATAGGTTGTCGTTGTACTGGCCCGCCTCAATAAATAAGTGATTCTGAATGTCGCGTTCCATCTGTTCGCGTGAAGCGACGAAGTGATAATCTCGCCCGTCCACTTCATATTCACGTTTTGGCCTTGTTGTATCTGGAATGTAACCATAAAATTTATACTAATTACATATTCTGCACTACCTAAGTAATGTATTAGCAAGCAATGTGTAATCAGGAATGATGGCCAATTTTAACCAGCCAAATCAGCATGGTGGCAGTTGTACACATGTCTGTCCTTCTTTATCAATAATTGCACTACTGTATTGAAAAGTATCATGAGATCACCAAACCAAAATGTCTGACAATGCATCAGCATAAACTTTCACAACAATTTCTTCAACTAAAATCAAGAAATTATTTGTCAGCTGGTGATTTTCCTAGGTATGGTGCAGGAGACCTTAATTAATTACAGTACACAGAAACAGTCCAGCATGCGACCTGCAAGAAACACTAAGATAATGCACAAAGAAAGGAAAGAAATTATAATGAATAACAACTGGGAGACTGGGTATGACCCGTTTTTCAAGTGCCTGAGCACTGCGGGTCCCAGCTTTTTCATTGGCTCGATGTATAGACATTCGGTAGGACTCCTTGGACGAGGGATCGGCCCGTCGCAAGGCCTCTACCTGTACACAGGACAGCACAACGCAGAGAAACGCAGACAAACATCCATGGCTTGAGTGGGATTTGAACCCACGGTTCCAGCAACCAAGCAGCACAAGGCCCACGCCTCGGACCGCGCGGCCACTGCAGACACCCGATGAATAACAACAAACATACTAATGTTGTAGTGCTCAGTAAAATCATCTGTTATTTCTGATTGTCCCACAAATTTTCCATTAACTTACGAGGAACACAGCTACCAAACTTGTCTGGAAACTCTGAAATGAGGTCATCGTTAACCCTGTCCTTCAGTGGCCCAAGAATGATGACAGGTCTCGTGTACTGGATTTGCAACTGCTGTACAGCCTCGTATGACAATACAGTTTCCTCACCACCTGCAAGGATTAACAATTTGGTCATTCAAAACAAAGTGTCTCTGCTAATTATTAATTCATGCTATCACACAAACAGTGTTTTCCCACAGCACAAAAGAGCATAAAGATGAATACATAATACTGAAGTCATTCATGCAATATTTTTAATACACCTTTCAATCTTCATAGAGCACACAAATGAATAACACGTTCATATGCAACACTGCAAAAAGCCTGTTTTACTTCAACACATTTTACACTTCAGTCATGCGTCAGGAGTAAAAAAGAAACAGTTCAAATAAACAGGATGTTAATTTCGTAACAAAAGCGGAAAATTCAGAGTTCATAAAGGTTGTATCACAAGCTAAAGAAATCATTTGAAAGGAAAATTTTCGAATCTTAATTACAATATTCTACTTTCTACATATTCAGAAGGCAAATAAAATCTGAAAGCCAATTCAATTTGTTCCTTCACTATATGTATCACAACCAAAGTAAGAGGGCCATCCAGAAAGTTCCTAAGCATAAACCGTCCCCTAAAATACCTTCCTGTATGTGTTATAGCACACTCCTAACAACCAGGCTTTACGTGTGACAAAAAGTGGAAATAAACTACCGCACTCTTAAATTATTCACAAAAAGCAGCTGCTTTCCTTTCTTTTTCTTCTACAATTTTTCTTCCTATATGCAGTAAGAACTTTCCGAGAGAATAATTTAAAATTAAAATCTTCATTAGCTACAAAGACTGATACACACAACTAAAATAACTGCCCATTTCTCAAAGAAACTAGTGTTGAGAAGAAAATAGCTTTCATGCTTATAACATCAAATCTTTCTATACCTTCTGTATGAGTATCATCTTGTGTATAGCACAGCATGAACGCTGAAACAAAATCAACAGGACATGAAAACACTTGCAACTTGTTCTCACACATTACATCTTGGAAAATGTTACTATGCCTAATGCAGAGCTCATAAACAGCCAGTAAGAAACATGTGCCTCTCTGTGGTGTTCAGCAACAGGTCTTTCTCTACAAATGCAGTCACTGCACAGATCAATTCAACATCTTCCATGTAATACCCAAGTTACAAAAGATAATTTTCATACTCCACCATTTCTATTTTATGCAGACATATGAGGGGTGTATACAAATGATTTAGACTGGAGCTACGATTTTGACCCCGCAGGTGGCAGCAGTCCACTGCCTTGGTGTAATCCGAGTGTTGACCTTGACGGTCATGTGGCCGAGATGGCGCCACAGCATCGTGGGAAGGGCCGTGGCCAGCATCACTTAGTCCCACAGGACAGTAACCAGTCTGACAAGCTATGGAGAGCGACTACCATGGGCAGAGATCAACCGCATGGTTCTTATAGAAGGAGGGCGAGAACGCCGCGAATATACACAGGCGTTTAGTGGCTGTGTGCCCTCTTCTGTGAGATGAAGAATCCCCTGCGTGGTCACCGATTCCCCGATAGTGACGCCTTACATGATGCTGTCAGGGAGTGGGTGCGAGACACCCCCAAACAATGGTTTCGTGAGGCAATACGGAAATTGCCAGAGAGATGGCGACGGTGCATCAACCTCCAGGGAGAATATGTGGAATGGGCCGAAGTGTAACCTGGGAGCCACCACCATCAAGGAAAACATAACTCAGGTTAGTCTAAATCATTTGTATACGCCCCACATACATCAGGAAAATTGAAAAATTTTCTGTCAATTCAGCTACTTCAGACGTAAAGTAAATGGCGGTGATAGTGATTTTAAAGCAACACTGATCCAATCTCAGTTATCAATAATGCTTATCTATACATAAAAGTACAGTCTCTATATTCAAGCACATGGCTTCAGATTAAAGTGAAGAGACAGAATGGAAGCTAAATTAACTTAGGAGGTGGCCGTCTTCTGGGTTGTAATGCCATGTAGCCTGGTAGAAGTTGACCAACGTTTCAGAGGTCTTTCCTGTCTTCAACATCAGGGCAATGAGTGATGATAATGGTTGGTAAACTTCTACCAGTTAAATTTCTGGTATACTGAATGATGAATTTCATGATCTAAATTCTTACAGTCCAATTTTAGTACTGCTCTCTCAAGACGTTGAACAAAAAACGTGGGGAAATGAGCAGCAGTTCTGAGAAATTCAACAGCATACCCTAGCATGGCATTACACTGAAATACATCTATTTTCGGCAACAAGAGGCATACTCACGTATTGTCGTAGGGTCACCATCATTGTTCGGTGTGGTAGGCGAGGCTAAAAGTTGCAGAAAGAACAGAAAACACATGTCACAACAGAACACAATGCAAACAGGCAACATCATTTAGTATGGGTAATAATTTACAAGCATGCTTATATATGCGCAAAAACCACTTCATGCTTCTAAAATTCTACCTCATATTACATTTTACTCACTACACTCAACATTGAATAATAGTTGTAACTTCATTCTACTCTGGTTTACCCACTGGTCTACATTAATCACTCTAGGACAAGTTCAAGTACAGTTACCCGTTATGATAACTGTGAAATTACACTTGATATAGTTACACATGCATTTTGTGTTGATTTTCGTAAATCGTGGGTTAAGTTTAAAAAGGAATTTCTGATTTAAGAATTTCACAGTATGCCGAAGAGTTACCTACAGGTATTAAGAACATAATATTTTGGAAACATGCAAAAACCAAACCAAATAGATCTATATAAAATTATCCACATTAAACAGTTATACAAGTTACATTAAAAATTGTTATCAAAATTGTAGATGACCCAAATTTCAAGCATTTGATTAGTTCAAAGTAGGTGCAGAATAACACAAAAATGATCCACAATTTCCATGCGTACAAATTTAAATTTAATTTTCTGTTCTACACATTCAGCTGGGATTACTACTTCATAGCTCATTTGATCCTTATGAAACCCATGGCACGAAATTCCTTGTGGAGGAAAAGGAGAATATTTGCCATGAAATTATTTTTATGAGTTTCACCTTCAACAGATATAAAGCACAAAGTTTGAATTCCACTGATAACTCAGCTAACGTATATTATAAAGTCAGTAAAACACCTAAGACTCTAAAACAGATTTTAACACGGATGTAGGTGTGTGCGCGTGCACGCACGCGCGCATGTATGTGTGTGTGTAGCATATACACTGTTATTTAAGATATATTAAAAACCATCCTACTTCTGTTGTAACATTTATCAATATTTTATAAAGAATATAAAGATAAATGCAGCTCCTAAAATACTAGGGGGCATAAAAAGATAATCACTCAACAACCATGCATCATGCCATTTTCCTGTCTTCAACATCAGGGCAATGAGTGATGATAATGGTTGGTAAACTTCTACCAGTTAAATTTCTGGTATACTGAATGATGAATTTCATGATCTAAATTCTTACAGTCCAATTTTAGTACTGCTCTCTCAAGACGTTGAACAAAAAACGTGGGGAAATGAGCAGCAGTTCTGAGAAATTCAACAGCATACCCTAGCATGGCATTACACTGAAATACATCTATTTTCGGCAACAAGAGGCATACTCACGTATTGTCGTAGGGTCACCATCATTGTTCGGTGTGGTAGGCGAGGCTAAAAGTTGCAGAAAGAACAGAAAACACATGTCACAACAGAACACAATGCAAACAGGCAACATCATTTAGTATGGGTAATAATTTACAAGCATGCTTATATATGCGCAAAAACCACTTCATGCTTCTAAAATTCTACCTCATATTACATTTTACTCACTACACTCAACATTGAATAATAGTTGTAACTTCATTCTACTCTGGTTTACCCACTGGTCTACATTAATCACTCTAGGACAAGTTCAAGTACAGTTACCCGTTATGATAACTGTGAAATTACACTTGATATAGTTACACATGCATTTTGTGTTGATTTTCGTAAATCGTGGGTTAAGTTTAAAAAGGAATTTCTGATTTAAGAATTTCACAGTATGCCGAAGAGTTACCTACAGGTATTAAGAACATAATATTTTGGAAACATGCAAAAACCAAACCAAATAGATCTATATAAAATTATCCACATTAAACAGTTATACAAGTTACATTAAAAATTGTTATCAAAATTGTAGATGACCCAAATTTCAAGCATTTGATTAGTTCAAAGTAGGTGCAGAATAACACAAAAATGATCCACAATTTCCATGCGTACAAATTTAAATTTAATTTTCTGTTCTACACATTCAGCTGGGATTACTACTTCATAGCTCATTTGATCCTTATGAAACCCATGGCACGAAATTCCTTGTGGAGGAAAAGGAGAATATTTGCCATGAAATTATTTTTATGAGTTTCACCTTCAACAGATATAAAGCACAAAGTTTGAATTCCACTGATAACTCAGCTAACGTATATTATAAAGTCAGTAAAACACCTAAGACTCTAAAACAGATTTTAACACGGATGTAGGTGTGTGCGCGTGCACGCACGCGCGCATGTATGTGTGTGTGTAGCATATACACTGTTATTTAAGATATATTAAAAACCATCCTACTTCTGTTGTAACATTTATCAATATTTTATAAAGAATATAAAGATAAATGCAGCTCCTAAAATACTAGGGGGCATAAAAAGATAATCACTCAACAACCATGCATCATGCCATTTATAATCATGGATATATGGACATCAATTCAGTCCAATTACAAGAAAAATGTACGGATCAAGAATAAACTCGAGCAAGCTGGTATGGGACTTTCAGCTACTTCAATAAATATACTTCACACCCACAATCTGAAATATCTGCGATACTGTATACCTTTCCCAAGAAACTAAAGAGAAATGTGGCATCTGAATCTCCTTTCCATGTTATCTTAATGAAATTCATATGTGACTTAATGATTCATACAGATTAGCCAGATTGGTCGAGGAGGAAAGGTCAGACTAAGACAGGAACCCTGGTCCTCCAGGTTGGGGGTTGGTCGCAAGGCTAACAACCTTGCACAGTAAAAAGGAAGATGTTTTGAAACCTCAATCAAAGCCTCGGACAGACGGACCTAACAGAGGACCGAATGGAAGAGGAGAATTGAGGAGGCCATGGACCGAATATGGACCGGAGAGCCATAGAAGAAGAAGAATGTTAAGACTATAGACTGTAGAAGTTTACTGGTAAATGCTGTGACATCCTCAACTTTTACCCTAGAAAGCACAGCAATGATGAACATTTCTTGAAGTTAATATGAGAATGCAGATGGACACGCATGCTAAAACCATTTTCAGTTCTGTATCCATATATAGATATTTTATTCAATTATTACACACCTACTGAGATTACTACTGCTGCACAGAAAGGCAGTATGATGTAACACCCGAAGTTCATATCTGTGCACGCTGTTAAACATTATTTAGTTAACACCACATACATTACACTTCAGCATTTCCCAAAATACATCAAAGATAAGAGTCGACTACTAAGAATTACAAATACACCACAACATACCTCATTGCAGAAAAGTTCATTTCTGGAGCTATAACCCAGTCTTGTATACAAATATGCCAGCAGCATAAGACTATACATACAATGTACTTACGTTCCTGGTCTGAACCATCTTCTGATTTGTCATCTTTACTCTTCATAAAAGGAAACTTCCGGCTGAATGAGAAATTCTTCTTTTTCCTATCTAATGTGCATTGCTGTAAGAAAATTTAATAAAACAAATTAACTTAATCATAATCTACAATGTCCACATATTTTAACATACAACATTTTATCTAGTCCAAATTACTCTGAAATTTTAACCCGATGGGCATCGTTCAATATCGAGAACTTGATTGTATGAATATTGTCCTGAGTTCCAGCACACTTATTTGAAAACATGATAAACAACCACCTCCAATTTAAATTTCTTTTACTACTAAAACCACATAACAGTACAAAACTCAAATTCAATTACAAAATCTTTTTTTTCAGTGATGGGCAGACTTTTATATTTTTATTCAAACATTTTTATAAGTAACTTGCAACATTTAAAAATATTCTGTCAATCAAAATGCCCTACAGGTATATTTTTTCAATTAATACATAACATTTTAATACGCTACGCTTGAATGCATTTTTTTTGTAATTCCAGTAAGTTACCAGAACATTTCCTACTGTGTGCTATTATTTAGTATGTAACGAGCTTGTAATAAGCACAATTTTTTTATCTCTTTTCAGTGTATTTCCAATTGCAATTTTCAAAAACATAATACAACAAGAAGTGCCATTCAATGCGCAATAAAATTTGAATCAAATTTCTTTCTTCGAATTGTTCGAGTATGGACCATTTATACCATTTTCTGCTACTACAGGCATAACCTTTTACCTCTATTACCTGAGAACAGCTGCATATATTAATCCACGACACAATTTTTTCCCCGTCAATGTGATATGTTCTTTCACTATAAGTATTAATGCATCAATGTGCCTAAAAATGCTTTATAACATAATAAATATCACATAAATTCAGCAAACATGAATTTTTAAGAATGTGAATGGAATATAGTGGTTTATATGAAAGGAAAAAATCCTTACCTTGTCAAGGATGACCCCTCCAGCTGCATGACCTTGAAATTTGACTGTTCTGTCTCGCGCCCTCTGCTTCCGTTCCCAACGGCGCTTGGATGGCACAATTCCCATCCCTTCCTCCTCACCAGAGGAAAGGACTCTCCGTGCTTGCCACCATTCATCATCACTTGCATTTGTTACATGAAGGATGTCACCATAGCGGAAAGGTAACCCTCGACTTGGCAGCCCATCATCTTTAATTGGGTCGTAATCGAACAAAGCCCTATGACAGTCGCACAGATTAAAACAATGTCACTTGCTCGCTACCACGTTATAATAAGCAACCAAATACTATAACATCTTTTCACCACCAATGGAACATTTCCTGCCTATCTATTACTACATTCTGAGAAGGATTAACTGCAATCTGAATTATACATAAAACAGAAAACCCTGAGGCAGTGATTCTCACCTGGTGGGTCACGACCCGCTGGTGGGTCCCCGGAAGTATTTGTAACAAAAAAAGTGGGAAAAGAAAATATTTTATCAACAGAGCAGAGCTGGAAGTGTTAATGTTACAGCATGAAGGACATGCAACTGTTGGCTTGAAAACTATGAGTATCTACTTATTAGAACTCCTATCAGCTTCTGATTTTTTAAATTGAAGTTGAGATCATATTATAAATAACTTCTCAGGACATACAAATATGACAGTGAGGCCATAATTTTACAACACCAAAAAATGATCAGGCAGGTCCAGATTATCTAAAAGAACTTGGTGTCTCCTCAAACCACCCACCTGTGAAAACTATGACAGTTACTCTTTTAAATGATACAAACACAAGAGATTTGTTCATTACTACGAACATTCAATTTAAAATACTGGAATCACAACTTCAATTTTCTTGACATTAAGAGACAACGGATATTATTTTCTGACAACGCTACATTTTCACCCATTAATTGACAACATGAATCTGCAAGCATATTTATCTTGTAAGATTTGAGGTTTTCACAGCAGTGAGTATGAAGATTTCTGTCTTCTGGGTTGTTGCGCTGTGTAGTGTGGTAGATGTTAGATGAATCGCCCTGATGACGGAGGCAGTATGACCTCTGAAACGTTGGTTAACATCGACCAGACTACACAGCGCAACAACCCAGAAGACAGAAATCTTCATATTTATCTTACTAATCACTTCATTGCCTTAGCTTCTCAGAATCCTCAATATAAACCTCTTCTATATTACTTTACACTTATAAATTATTACTTTAGTCTTTCACAAAAGTTTAAAAATTCAAATCTTTCGCACTTTCAATGCACCTCATTTTGGGCTAAAAAAAATATAAGAGTTGCAGACTGATTTGTTTTAAAATAACGTCTTCAGCCCACTGTCAAATGTGATCACAGATATAAACTGTTAGGTGGCAAGAAACTATTAATAATGAGTCTTAGTGTAAATAAAGCTCCTCTACTTCATCCTACAACTGTTCATAAATATAAACAAATCAGGCAAAGGAAGACAATCACAAATCACTTGTAGTAATAATTTATGCTCTTACAGCTCTGGAAAAGAAGAAAGAATAAATACAATATTAAACTGTGTAGTAGAAACTGATATATAAAAGCACAGATGATAGTAAAGTCTCAACATTCATCAGATATACGATACCGAGAAAACCAAATAGCCTATTTCACTGAATAATTTTCAGTAACTGAAAGATATGCAATTGAGGGCCAATCAGCAATAGTGCTCCTCGACGTGCTAATTTAACAAAGCCCACGAAAGGTTCCTTTAAAGTAACCATTACATATGTGTGGGACTACACAGTGTCATGATTATAATAAAAATATAGTTAGTAAGTATAATTAAATCAATAAATTACATCTATAATAAAAATTACAAATTACTTAAATTACACTATTTTAAGACACTTTACTTCATTGGGGTGAATTACATATGCAGTGACAGATTTCATAATAGAGGGTGCATGTACATCATTTCCGTATGTCCATAGTAGAGCAGAATGGACATACGCTTGGTGTTCCGGAAACTGGTTTAAGCATGCTTGCACACAATTCCCACATAACAGCTATATTCTGTGTTCTAGCATGCAGTCAAGGTGGCTTAATTGAAACATCAAATTTTTCTCAAATTAAACATAAGCATTTATATTCTTTTCAATATGAAATGCTTGTTCCCAATTTTTTTATCAGTTACTTAGTCTTCAGTATTTAACTTTAATTTATTAATGACTTACTGGTAGACAGAAGGCATCTCAATTAATTACATTTATTAGCAATAAATTCACACATTTTCTAACCCAAACTATAAGCTGAACCAATTTTAATTCAATCTGATGAGATAAACCATTCTGATGGCAAAAAAACACAAAATATTTTCCCCATGTGTAAAATTCATATTTATTACTGGCAAGGTCAATGTCTATATAGGCATACAATTAACATTTTTAGGAAGAAAACTGCTTCTGATACTCATTAGAATATCCATTATGTTTATTTATTTTTATTTCGTGTCCAGTACACACCATTCAGCATGGTGTGTATTGGTGGTTAGCAGGATTCACGACCCATCAGTACATGGGTTCGATCGGGACCGCGACATTTAACGCTCCTGCTGTGACGCTGGCCTTGTAATACTGGGGTCCCGGGTTCAATTCCCGGTGTTGCTCAAATTTATAACTTGTGTTGGGCAAGGCCGTGGTCTAGTCAACACGGAGTTTTCCTCCGGGGCTTCCCTGGTTTCTCCGTGGCATCCCAACAATTACTCCATTCACACACAGAAGAAGGCAATGGCAAACCACTTCTGGATCACCTGCCTAAAAAACATATATGAACAAGTCCCAGTCCGAGAAAAGGATGGAAGGATCCTGTTCATAATATGTCGCCAACCTCCTGTCCACGAGACGGCGTAAGAAAGTAGAAAACCTAAGTACCCAACCTGTTTTGCTTAATGTAAATGAAAACTCACCGGACATAGAGAGATCGTTTCTGTGAAGTCCTCATAAGCGTGCCAGACATAATCTGTTGGGACATCTGCTGTTTAAGATCATGGATCTTCGCTTCGAAACGGTTGTACTCTTCTGGCCGGTACTGGGCTACGATTGTCACAGTTTGGCCTGCACCCTAAATAAATCACAAATATCACACTTTACCCTATTGCATAACACTACTGCTTCATATTCGGGAGGCCCCGGGTTCAAATCTCGGCCTGGAGGCTGCCTATCCTGATTGAGATTATTCATGTTTACCCAGGCAAATGCCGGGATAGGGCCTTAAATTAGGCCAAGACCACTTCCTTCCACATCCTTTCCAATTTAATATTCACTACCATCCTCTCATTCGACACTATATAGTCTGAGCTACTGAAAAAGTGTCATTAAAAAATGTACCTAAATTCATATTCAGTTGCAAAAAGAGTAAAAAATAAAGAAATGAAACTCGAGGCACACAGTTTTGCATGGATCATAAGACTACAATCACTTCCCTTGGAGAAAGTGTTAGTACTGTTACTTATTTGGCATTTAAATTCAAGAGCAAGCACTTTGAAAATGTGCTCCATTACCTTGAGTGCCTGAGCAGCTTCTTCATGAGTGGCAGAACGCAAGTTGATGCCATTTACACTGAGAATCTGGTCCCCACGTCGCAATTCTCCACTCAAGTCTGCTGGACCACCGGCCAAAATGAATGACACAAAGATACCTTCACCATCTTCTCCGCCTACAATGTTAAAACCCAATCCTGTGTTGCCTTTGCCGAGTACAACAGTTCGCACCTCCCTGAAACAACAATTGCAATTATTACAACACTCACTCTTTCTATTTGTTTGTGGTTACAGTGAAGTCTCGATTATCCGACGTGTAAGGGATTAAATTCTGCCACTCGCTTGCGTTGAACGAGAAGCGACCGCTGAAGACGCTCTACTGTTCAGGCGCTGGAGTGACATTGCCGCGAAGAAAAGGAAGGAGACTCTGAAGCAAATACTCATTACAAATTTCTTTAAAAATGAACTATTTCATTTACAAATCCATATTTTTGTTTGTGACATTTTGTCATTTGATGCCATACCGTATTTTCTTCGTAATTTAATATCGTAAACCGAATTAAAAACTGAGCTGATATTTGCCCTCGTCCTTTTCATTTGTCTCCCATATTATAAGACATTTTCGATTATCCAGCCGTCCTCAGGTCACGTTTAAGTCGAATAATCGAGACTCTGCTGTACTTTAGTGATGCATCAACTGTAAATGTAAGGCATAACGCCCACGTGTAGCTATAATTCTCATTCTTCCATACGTTACGGAGGTTTAATTAAACAGTTACAAATTTACGTGAACTTTCTCGAAGTTTTTATATTAAACTGTTGATAATCGTGAATTACCAATACAATGACAGATTTTGGTTTCTAGCTGTATTGTTAGGCACAACTGACAACTTTATTTCGATGTTTTTGTGCACGGAAGCTAGTTTTCTTCATATGGCGCGTTATTTTCGTGACGACCTCCAATACTAAAGTGTGTTAATGCCACACGCAATTAGTTATGGTGGGCTGTGAACTTCGCAACCTTGACGAATTTAGGTCACAGCTATTCTCTCAGTTCATCGCCACAACAAAACACTTTTCTTCGTGGTGGGAGCATAAGTCGCTTGGATGTAGCAAAAGGTACAGTGCGACTGGTGGGACAAAGCGTGAAAACGCAATTTCAAAGGAGGTGTCTCTTCTGTGGTATAGTCGGCGCAGTAGTTTTTGGCCTGTGGAATTTTCAAGGGGAAGGCTAGGAGCGAGTCTCTTTTGCGATGGTATAATGCTGACTGCGCCGAGGAGCTCGTCTGACTGAACGCCCAAACAAAAGAAATTCACTGACCGTGCCACCTCAGGTACACAGAGTAGGCCCGTCCGCCAGCTTCTCCAGCAGCCAAAAACTACTGCGCCGACTATAACCTCCGACGAAAAACACAAAATGAAACATTTCTTTCACGACATCGCACAAGTACCACGGCCTTGTCGCGTCGATATACGCAGGCATACTACTTTTTGCCCACAAATGTTAATCTGAGTCCCGCTGTAGAATCTTGGAAAAATCCGAGTTGCAGGAATGAATATCGTTCGACTCGAAAACAGGTCGCTTGAAAAAAAAACAGGAAGCGCCCGATCTCTCGTGGCTCTGATAAAGGTGCGTCCAAATCACCGTTCGTAACCATGCTACAGGGGTGTACAGACTGCGAACCATTCCAGACCATGGCACCGGCTCATCAATTTTTTTCTCTCAGGCTCGTGAAACGGTCCTCATTTACGTTGGCATGAGTACTCTGAACGCATCTTTGTAGGAGGGCAATGACCAGCATTATAATCCTGTTTTTAACTTAGACTCGCATGGGTTCCGCAAGACAGTTCTTCCGAATATTACGATTATCAAATCAACCAGGAATATATGGGCGAAACCACTGCAGGTAAAGGAGTCACGAGAAATGCGTCTGTCGCCCTGAATACAACAGACCGCTTGGGTAACCTGGGAGTAGATGGATCTTAAGGCTGTTCACTAAAGCTTCGTGTTCCATTAAACACGGGAAATTTTACTCGGAGGGCTACTATGAGTTTCTCAATGACTCTGCTCTATGTAGTTAATTATTTCATCTTCAACAGAGAGTTAAAACCGAAAGTTAAATAAACAAGCAAACTTTCATGGGTGATGTACCTTAATTTCCGCAATGGTGTGCATCCGTCTCGTTTCACTGGTCGCTGATAGCACTCGCCGTAAAGCGTTCCATTCTTTGCCCCGGGTCCTTAAAATTTTACTTTTCTATCTAGTACGTGACCGTTGTTGCCTGCGTTTTAAACGTCACATTCTAATCGGCATACCTGACTCACGTGACCAAGCGCCACTACGACAAGGGTCCACATATTTCGCATGATCGCAACAGTTTTACATTTTTAACACGTGTATTAATTTTCGTTTCATTTAGCTGACAAGTTGAGTGCAAGAATTCCAGTCCTAATAAATATTCCGAGTTATGTAAGTAAAATAACCTTTAATGGCTGTTGGACAAGACAAACGCAGAAAATATGACCACAATAATTGTTCAAACAGCATTCCAGGCTACCTGTTACAAATTCTTACTCTACTATTACAGCTCTGGTCGGTATTACAGAACCGACATTGAACAAAACATACGATATTGCTTCTGAATTGTGAAAAATTTTCCGTGATAATTTAAACAGAATGCCTCTGTTTCTATTACTTATAAAAGATTAAAAACACGCCAATTTAAGACTTATCTTACCCTGTTCCGTCTAATATCGATATCAGATACATAAGGTATGCAGTCAGAAGCACCTTACTGATCTCACTTGTTCTTGTACGCAACCTCAGTTCGATCCCAGATAATTATTCCAAGCTCCTAGGTTCAACAATAAATGCATGGTAATATCTGACCAGTGTTGGGTGGACAGTTGTAATAAACTGGCCGAACGCTATGCAGGGTAATACAAAAATGACATAAGATGTCCACAAAAGTATGGATTACAACACAGCATGAGGTTATGGCACTGTAATTTAAACAATCTTCTACCAGTACTTACCCATGTTAACTAGAAGCAAGGAGATTTGCACACGCAAGTCAAAAGTTTGACAACATAACAAATATAACAAGGCTACAAACTGACCTAACCTGACCCAGGTCAGAGTCAGACTGGAACGTCAAAATCTGTACGCCTCTTCGACACTTTACGCTGCAAGAGTTTTGAGCGTGGAGACCCAGACTGGGTCAGCGCGCATGCGCAATGCGAAGCTGTACAGATCAATATAGAAATATAATCCAGACCAGACATGCGCCATTCGAGAAACCGCCAAATTGAAAATTTACAACAATCGAAACAAACTGTCCGCTGTTTGTTCACCTTGTCAACGAAATACTTCAGCGGGTAAACGAAAGAGTTTGTAACTGCAGGAGAAATTTTCAATGCATCAACTTACACCATTCTTTAACGTAACATGTATTTTGTTTTTTGTGTGGCACGACAAATAGACAATATGGCATTCTCACAGTTGAGTCTTTCCCCCCCCCCCCCCCCCTCTCCTCCTCATATAACTCTGATCATATCTCAGCTCGAAAGTCCGTAGGTTTGCGGTGAAGCACTGTACACAAAAAGGATTCTAGCGAACTAATAGATTCTCCGGAAACAGCTTGTTACAAGCGTGTATTTCGTGATCTAAGTTGCTCATGGTTTTCGGTCCGTAACGCAGTGGATGCCATTACACGACATGAGAACATTTCCCATGTACTTCCACGTTTTCGATTTTGGGCTTAATTTTATGTAAAAGATATTGAAAAGGACCTTTCTACCTTTCATTGATTTTGAAAACCTTATGTTCTGTTGAAATCTACTCCCCCCTTCCCCATGTTTATACCTTTTGTTATGTGAAAACTTACAAATACATGAACAGAATTGAAGGAAATTTTAAAACTGTTGTTGATAGCATATTTCATATAGATACGTATATACATTGGAAGTGGTTTTTAATATTTAATAAAATGTATAAACTTTCTTTGCGCTGTACTAGAGATCACTTCATGTAGAGAGATTCACAATCATTGTATACACTCTCTCGATAATGCGAAATTTTGCGTGCATTCAAAATATATTCAGTGTTTTTCACGAATCAAAGATGTTTTGCAAATTCTGCTTACGCTGAAATGGTTCACTATTTTCAGATACTTTGTAGGTTTAATAATTCGCGAGATTTCGAGAACCTTTGAGAATACAAAGTGTAAGTAAATAACAATTAAAACAAACCGCTGTGTGTTCGGCGGTATATAATAAAAATAACCTACTAGTGTAGTGGTGTCAGATGTAAAGATTTACATTGTACGAAATCGGTTCGGTTTTCAGTCCAGCTCAAGATCGAATATCTCCAAGTCTTCAATGCACCCGCAAATTGACATCATTTTTCTCTCCACCGTAAAAACCGTTTAAAGCTCGCATAATGAGGGTGGTTTCTCTTACTTATTCTCAGTGAATTCAGATAAATTCCGGGATGAAAGAGTATTAGGGGACACCGCCGTTAACTGCTTTTTAAATCCGTCTCAGTTAACAATTCATAATCACAATACTATGTACATCTTTAGCATACATAATCAGACAATAAAAATTTCTTAAAATAACCGAAAAGAAGAACAAAGACGCTAATTTTATTTGAAAGGGACATGAATTTGACTCGAAAACAGGAATTACCAGGAATTTTGAAACAGACATAGGCTAATCTCCTTTTACGGATCGTGAAGTTTGTGTTGTATAAAGTTACCTCTTGTGCCTTTGACGTCGTGAAATGGGAATGAGTGAGACATGCAAGCCGAAATTAATCAACGACTTCTTCCTTTTCTTTTTAAGCGGACTTCAGAAATGAAACATTTTAGTAAGCGTGTCGTTTCCAAAAATCTCTTTAAGACTTAGAGCGTCGCATCACATTTTAAGCGTAAGTTACGGAACCTTTATAGTATTCCCCTCTCTTTTCAATGAAAGGCTGTAGATTGTAACACGTTCCTGTACTGGCGAATTTTAAATTCCACTATCAGAATAATGGGCACATCAAAGAAATTACTAGTTCTGAATCTTGTGTTTGCACTCGAAATTCCTTGCTTAATAAGTACGCAGTTATGGCGTTATTCTTGTAAATTCTGCCATCAAATGAAGTATGACTTTATTATGTATAGACTTTATTAATTTACTAGAGCAGAGCGCTGCTTTCGGAGCAATCTAAAATCTTGAGTATCAAACTAA